CTATCTATCTATCTATCTATCTGTCTACACTTACCTATGTGTCTATCTATCTGCAAACGGCTCTGTGGTATATTAGTTGGGTGATGCTATGTGCACGCAAAGGAACTGAGTGCGATTTCAGAGCGAGTACGTTTCTTTATTGTTTGTTGTTATTATTATTTTTTTTCATTAACTATCGAGTAACTCCATCTGTATGCTGGAATGTTAAACCGTGCTCAGCCTGGATTGGCTCTAAAAAAATAGGGTGGAAACAACCAGCCTTCTAGTTGACCTATATTGTGTCGAAGTGGGAGTGAAATGCTCACAGCCCTCTTATTATACAGAAAAACACATTATGGCCTACCCAGGATTGCCCTATTACCTGCCTGAGCAGCGCTGCATAAGCATTCAAGGAGGAGAGGTCAAGGACGATGTTCCTCATCTTCTCCCTGTCCAGGTAGTCCAGCCTTCTGAGGTCCTCGTGGGCTGACTCCACTTGCTCAATGCGCCTGAAGCCGATCTCTATCCCGTACTGCTCACGTTTGAGCCGGTCATATACGTGCTGGACTCTTAGCAAGCCTGGAGGGTAGGGAAAAGAGGTGGGGAGAAAAGGGGAGGGGTGGATTGTAAATGGTTAAGAATCAGTGGGAAAAGAAAGAAATAGAGAGAGAGGGAGAGAGGGAGAGAGAGAGGGGGGGGACAGACAGACAGACAGAGACCGACAAAGAGAGACAGAGACTGAGAGAGAGAGAGAGAGTAAGAGAGAGAGAGAGAGAGAGAGAGAGAGAGAGAGAGAGAGAGAGAGAGAGAGAGAGAGAGAGAGAGAGACTTTTGTGATAGTGGTTGTTGTATAGAGAGGTATTCGTGACAGTTAATGTGTTTTGTAGTGGTGGTTATATGAATTGTTACAAGGTGTTTGTGTTGGTGGCAGTAATAACCCTTCTGTTAACGTCTGACAATGACTTATACATTCCTAGAGGGGACATCTTTCCAGCAAAATAGAAAAACTTGCCGAATTAAAGGTTAAGATGACTTGTGAATTTTGTTGTGACCGATAAGATCAACTCAGGCAGAGACACGTTTGCCACGTTTTGAACCTTTGGTGAAATGGTATAGGTTTAACGCCCCTATGAACACTATTAGATATTTAAGAGGCGGGGCCTCCGAGTTAAACGTCCATCTCCGAAAGGACCGAACCAAATGGGAACTTCGTGTAAAGTGCCCTTCCCAAGGACAGAACATCGGACCGAGCAGAGGCTCGAGCCCCCGAACTCACAATCTCACGATTACAAGTCCGGTATCCTGTCTACTTGGCTACCGACGCCACTTTTGAACATTTAACGGCTCCACCTTCACCAGTGGGTTTACGCAGCTTGTGGGCTTTTCTCTTCGTTTCAGCTTGGATGGCAGTAGTGGTGTGGTAATTGTGACTGCAGCTGCTCCATATTTTGGGTTGAAGAGAAATAAATCTACCCAAAGTAAAAGGCATAGCCTCTCAAGTGTTATTATAGTATTCATGAACACTTACATTTTGATGCATCTGTGGGGCATTTCAATTGCTTTTAGAGTATATCTTTTGTCAAATTCCTTGTTTTGGGGTAAGTTGTTTTTTTCCAATTACCTTCATGCCAAGGACTCTGCTTTTGAATGTTCTGTTTGAGTCTAGAAGAGTTATAAAAACCATAGACGACGACCCGTATGAGGTATTTCTTTACCTATTCTAACTGCCCAAATGAAAGTTATGGTTTGGAAAAAGAGTTTAAAGTGTATATTTCCATTAAAGTTGGTTTCGCGGTTCACTGACTCAGGCTGTTTTGGTTGTTTGAAGTTGTTCTGTTTGTTTGTTTACTGGAAGTTGGTTGTTGTGTTATTTTAGAGAGGCTGGGGGCTGCCGGTTGTTTGGAGCTGTTTTCGTCTGTTTCAGTCTTTTGGAATAAAAAAAAGACCACAAATAGATTTATTACTGTTCTATAGCAATACGATATGGAATATATCAAACTTTAGCTAATGTTGCAACTGACAACATCCTAGTTTTACGATAATTGTTGTATTGTATCTATCGAAAGTATGCGATCTCCTATAAACGGGTTTATCTTCTACAATGATGACGCTTCCGTTGATATCGCCTAAGATTTGCATGGAAATATCAGGAGAGACGGAAGGGGTGATGAGAAAAAAGGTTTGAATATCAAGATTGGAAGGTAGTGGAGAGGGTTTGATACATAGGTTGAGAAAGAGTGAGGAGAGACAGAGCGAAAGGTTTGATACATAGGTTGAGAAAGAGTGAGGAGAGACAGAGCGAAAGGTTTGATACATAGGTTGAGAAAGAGTGAGGAGAGACAGAGCGAAAGGTTTGATACATAGGTTGAGAAAGAGTGAGGAGAGACAGAGCGAAAGGTTTGATACATAGGTTGAGAAAGAGTGAGGAGAGACAGAGCGAAAGGTTTGATACATAGGTTGAGAAAGAGTGAGGAGAGACAGAGCGAAAGGTTTGATACATAGGTTAGAAAGAGTGAGGAGAGACAGAGCGAAAGGTTTGATACATAGGTTGAGAAAGAGTGAAGAGAGACAGAGCGAAAGGTTTGATACATAGGTTGAGAAAGAGTGAGGAGAGACAGAGCGAAAGGTTTGATACATAGGTTGAGAAAGAGTGAGGAGAGACAGAGCGAAAGGTTTGATACATAGGTTGAGAAAGAGTGAGGAGAGACAGAGCGAAAGGTTTGATACATAGGTTGAGAAAGAGTGAGGAGAGACAGAGCGAAAGGTTTAATACATAGGTTGAGAAAGAGTGAGGAGAGACAGAGCGAAAGAGATAGACAGAAAGAGAGAGAGAGACAGACATACCAACAGACAGACAGACAGACAGTGACTGTACAATGGAATACCCATTTTCCAAAAACCTTGACCTCAAAACTTTGAAGTTTATTTCCAGAAGGCAACATGCAACCTTTCAAAATAAAAAACCACGGTGAAATTCCTCAGTGAAATTCCTCAGTCAAATTGTAGCAGTACAAGGCTGGCACTCAACTATCTTGCATAGTCTTGTAGCCTTACACCCAACTCTCTTGGGACACATTGAAAAGGCAATCAGAAGATATTGGTCGAGGCCCATGATCCCTTGATCAGCACACCCTGAATAATTAAAGATGCGCGTAAGCCCCATTGTAGTTCAACCGGGAGATCGCGACCTCGACCAGTATTAGGGGACCCGTGGACCTGGTCCTCATGCTCAATAAGACATTGCTGCTCCGGAGGTAGTTACAGCTGGGACTTGTGTCGAGGGGTTTGTCTGGGAATTTTGAGTGCATCTGTGTCCGCTGAGTGGGTCTTGTGAACCCGGTATAGGTTCGGACAATTTTGAGTGCATCTGTGTCCGCTGAGAGGGTCTTGTGAACCTGGTATAGGTTCGGACAAGTAGCTACTCTCCTGATGACTAGATGTCTGATCAAAGTAAACCCACATAGCTCTACCGAAAGATTAGGTAGAGTTTTGTGGTTTCACTTTGATCAGACATTTAGAGTAGGATAACATAATCAATCAGAACATTTTCCCATTATATTATGCAGAGCTAGATTTGTTTTTACTAACACCTTATAAAAAACCCCAGTAATAGTCAAAGAATAATCACTCCACTCTGGAATTATTAGCCCAGACTGAGATTACTTATTCAAGACAAAGTGCAAGGATAATATTTTGATCTCCAATTGGATTCGAATATAAAAAAACGCTGTACGGACGAATTATAAGATTTTAAAACTTTAAGGTATGCTTTACAGACTGACAGATTTCATGCATTATTTTTAAAAAATTGAAGACAGTGTGGTCATAAAGAATGTAGAAAATACCTAAGACTCTTATGAAAATACGAAATTTTTTTATAAGCAAGCAACGAAAGTCCTTGTTTTCAGATAGCGTGTTCTTATCTTTCTCTAGAATACGAAAAGTAAAGTGTATTTGCTTAGGGGGAGGGTCCTTCAGATTTCTTTTTGGGGGGGGGGGGGGCGGGGGGATTAGTTAGTGTTTTACGACGCTCACAGCTGCATAAGGTCATATGAGCGTACGGGACACATTAAACGTTTTCAGTTGGAAGGAAATTTTGAATTTTGCCCGGGTGGTGGCCGAAACCTACTCTTATCGATTTTAGACCACCAAGGGATCTTTAACCTGCGCAACTAGCACACGGGCTGACCAAGATTTTTCGCCCTTGTCCGAGAAGGCCAGGTGTAGGTCTTTCTTACCAGAAGATCAGGGGTGTGACTGAAAGACAGCATAGAAGGAGCCAAGGAGCAGCAGTAGAAAGGCTGCAGAAAGAGTCAGGAGCCCAGAGGAGGGGGCAAAGAAGGAGAGGGGGTGGAGGCAGAAAGAGGAGACGAAAGCAGACGATAGAACATTGCTAGAGAGCAGGAGAGGAGGTGAAAGGAGACAATTTTAAAAAAGAATTTTTTTTCCGTCGCTACCCAGGCCTTTGAATGAGAGGCCAACACCTTAACCTCTAGGCCACGAGAGCACCCCGTCTTTTAGTTAGAAGTCCTACTAGATAGGATGTAAAAGACCGGGTTCTGTCTAAACATCAGTCAATGGCTTTACAAATTAATGGTGCCAACAGTGTTTAATGGACAGGCTTGTTTCATTATCTTCATACCTCTTCTATGCGGTATATTCACTTGTTCTGAAGCAGCCACATGTTAACATAGTATTTTATATAGAAGATATAATACAATGATTGAGGCATTCTTTAAGGTGAACACTCCCTCTCTGTGAGGTTTGAATTCACCTGGATCCGTAAATTAAAAAAGAAAAATTGTCTGGAGTTTCTTTACCACCCCATACGAACTTTCAGAGATGGCCGTCAGTGTGCCGATCTGAGCTCTTCTATCTTAATTAATGCTCACAGCACTGTGAAAGAGGTGTAAAACTGTGCAATGAAATAAACCTTAGTATAAAAATGAGAAGCGTGGTACATGAGGACTACTTTATTATGATCATACTGAACTCTGTGCAGCAAACTGCGAAGGACGGGTAGTGGAAAAAATAGAATCGTGCTTCACTCATCTCAAACTCCGTAAAGCGAACACATTTTGCCATATAGTTGGGAGACCAATTTTTTTCTGAGATCGGGAGAGTAATCTGTAGTCACAATTTAACAATTCGATCTTTCCTTTGTTTTCTGTCCGTCTGCCGCGACAATTGAGCATGGCCGTCCCCTTTCTGAGAGCCGCATCGGTCGTTGTTGAAAGCAAAGCAAAACCATTGCCAGCCCTGGTCTTATCTTGTTCCCCGTTCTGAGTAAGCCGAAACGTCATCGCGGTTAATACCCCTGCTCACAGTACAGACTAAGCGTATCGAAATTCGATGTAAAGGAATTAAAGCTTGTCTGCTCACAGGCACGGGCTGGTCCCCGACTAACATTTCTTAAATTGAAAAGAAAGGTAATACCCACTCAAAATGGCACCCATGTCACCGTTTATGTTTCGGAAGGTATTGTTTGACAAATTAAAGAGAACGCAGGGCGGGCAGACAGACAGACAGACAGACAGACAGACAGACAGACAGACAGACAGACAGACAGACAGACAGACAGTCAGACAGACAGACAGACAGACAGACAGACAGACAGACAGACAGACAGACAGACAGACAGACAGATGTAGTAGGGGGTGGGGGTGAACACAGATACAGAAGGAAACATAGGGAGAAAAACAAGAGGATTTAAAGAGGGGAGAGATATATATATATATATATATATATATATATATATATATATATACTTTATAGCCTTCTATATAATATCTCCTTCTACATAAAGTTACATGACTTCATAACAATCCCTCGGCTTACCGATTCATTCAATTATTGCTAACCTTATTCCCGCCTCGGGGGGAAAGGGAGGGCTTGGACGGGGAGGGGGGGGGGCCCGCTGTCGTATACATCATTCTATTACGTGTTTCATATTCATTCGATTCGTTTGAAAACATTCCAAAACAACAATAAAGCGAGGATTCATCTATCATCTAGATTGACGGTCAAGTAGTATGATGGAATTGTGATTCTATGCTGGGAAACCTCAGAACGGTTGGGGGGGGGGGTAAATTAATGCATAATTAGAACTAAGGAGGTTCTGGTGTAGAATGGCAGTGAGATCGAAAAAAGAGGGGGGGGGGGGGGACAAAGAGAGAGAAGGACACAGAGAGAGGGAGAGAATGCGAGGGTAAGGGAAAGGGAGAAAGAATATCTGAGAGCGTAAGAAAGAGGGAGAACGTGTAAGAGGGGAAAAGAGAGAGGGAGAAGGGAAGAGAAAATTTAGTGAGAGCGAAGAAAAGGAAAGACAAAGAAGGGGAAAGATGATATAATATAATGTTATATGAATATATGGAGAGAAGTATATAAATATAGATATTTATGTGAGGCATCGCGCGCAATCAGGCGCTCGTCACAGAAATGCAATCAAAGAAATAGGCATATTTCAGCTCGTTAGGTTATTTCTACTGTTTGATGTTTGGTTTAAAACCTTTTATGATCATTTAAAAACACATCTTACATGTGCATTTTACGGGGAAATACGTTAATTTAAGGGGGAAAAATATAAATTTACAGTTTCCAAAGGGCTCTCAAGCTTTGCAATGTTACCAAACGTTGGCGGCAATTTTCTCGCTAATTTTATGTCTGAACTCAGGCTACCCGAACCCTTAACCAATCATAAATATCTTGACTTCCATTCAAGATAGATTCGGGGGTGGGGGGTCATCGACAAGAAGACGAATGAACAAGTTTTAAGATGATACCAATAACCCCATATTCCAAAAGAATTGACGAGAGCCAACACACACACACACACACACACACACACACACACACACACACACACACACACACACACACACACACACACATATATATATATATATATATATATATATATATATATATATATGTATAATATTTATATATATATATATATATATATATATATATATATATATATATATATATATATATATATATATATATAGGCCTATCTCGTCGTGTCTGAGCTAGTGTCCCACCTTCACTGTTGTCATAGACGTAGTCAAGCCTCCTCCAGTTTAACCCCTTGACCAAGTCAACAATGGCGTCGGCGTAGACAGGCTTGGCGAAAAGCATCTGAGGCTGGTGTTCTTTATGAATTGTTCCTGAAAAAGAAATAATTGTTTCCTTATCCGAACTAAACTAGGTCGACTAGCATTAATTATGGTGTCAGTTTTGGGCTCTTAACAGTCACTCGTGGAAGACTTCAGTTCTATTTATTGTTCAGTGGGAAAGATTTCATCGCGTGTCTCGGTCTTTGTGAAACAGTGCCATCTCCAGACAGCTTGCGTTGGCCATGGCAGAAGAGAAAGAGTCCACTTCCCAAATTATCTGAATTACGTCAAAGAAGGCATAGCAATTTACAATTATTATCTAAGCTGCTTGGGAACGGTGTTTTACATTTGAAGCTCAAACGCAGAACAAAGTAAAACCTAACAGTTTCATAAAATCCACCGACAATCAAGTTTGGGAATACTATTTTAATACTCTTTAACATTTTTGACTTCACACATTTTAAAAGTGTGTAGATCTAGCTCAAAAACTACACATCCATTTACTTTCATATTTTTACACATGCCATGCAAACTCGTTGTCATTCGTGAACTGCATTCACTCGGATGCACTGGTTTATCTTTTTGTCTGACAATGTCTTTCGTGTGGTTTTGATATTTCGTCCAATACTGTGAAAATGTGTAGGCAACTTTAAAAACAAAAACTACACACGCAAAGTTGGACTCCTTCCTAGGTTTTCGCCACATAAACAAGTGGCTTCTCTTTTTCGATTCACCATGCTTCGGCTGAATGAATGGGAAAGAAATCACATCATTGAAATGTTTCAGGTGGGCACTCCGATTTCGTTAGTCGAGATAATGTTCAACGTGAACAGACACACTGTGTATGCCACACGGGATCACATGGCAACGACAGGCTCCCAAAAGGACAAACCCAAGCGAGTAGGACGCAAACAGACAAAACCGAGGTTGGACTCATTCATCCTAACGCTATGCTTGAGAAATCAATTTCAACAGGCAAACAAAGACCCAGGATGAGTCGAGAAAAGACTTAGGAATGACTGTGCGATCTTTTTCATCGCTGTTCTTCTTCGTTTGAAAGTTTGTAGCATAAAACTGCAGCCCCATCACATCCAGTACAGACTTCACTATGCACTGGGCACAGCGTCGCGTGTGATGGCCAAGGCTAAATCAACCAATTTCTCTAGCCCAATGTACTTTTCTTTCAAAATCAAACCCGGGAAAAGTATTCATGCCCCGTAATGCACCTGCTTGTAAGGCTGCTGTGACAAATCAATTTATCAAAGCTAACAACAATACTCTCCTGCACCCATGACCAGAGCATTCACCAAATTTCAATCCAATTGAGCACTTGCGGGACATATTTTTAGATCGCGCCATTCGTGCCACACCACGCCAGCCCTGTACCCCTTGTATTTGATTTCTATATTTCAACCCCTATCATCTTACTTACCTGCGTGTAGCGTTGGTAGTAATGTGTAAATAGCCTAGAATTGATTTAAAAGAGTATTTAATATACACATATTAGAGGGTTGAATCTAAAAATGACAGCAGACACACCCCTCACCTGACAGGTCGGGTGTGATAAAAGGCATGTTGAACTTGGCACTGTAGGCTTGCAAGGTCTTGAACGTGGACTGGGATGTGGAGCCGTACATGACAAAAATACCTGAAGACATCTGTGCACACACTGAAATAAAAACCAACAGAAAGTACGGGGTACATTTGATCGGCTAGCCAACTGTCTTTAAAAGAACAAAGCATTTTATGTTACGCTGTGATTTCATAGGTCAGGCATTTTAGTTTTAATCTGTTGTCCTCCTTTCATCTACCCTTTCCCTTTTCTATCCTCCTCTCTCTCTCTCTCTCTCTCTCTCTCTCTCTCTCTCTCTCTCTTTCTCTCTCTTTCTCTTTCTCTCTCTCTCTTTCTCTCTGTCTCTTTCTCTCTCTGTCTCTCTGTCTCTTTCTCTCTCTCTCTCTCTCTCTCTCTCTCTCTCTCTCTCTCTATCTATCTATCTATCTATCTATCTATCTATCTATCGATCTATATGTCTGTCTGTCTCTCTCTCTCTCTCTCCCTCTCTCTCTCCCTCTCTCTCTCTTCCTATTAAAAAGAGACTGGAGTTGGGGTAACTGACATTGCATTACTCACTGTTTGTATTGAAAAGTCAATTGTCTTTATCTCGAAACATTCTTGTCTTTGTATGATACTCTCTAGTAACACATCTAATCTTCGGCACTTATATCAGCTATCAATGGTGTAGCAAATGTGCTGTAAAACTAAAACTAAAACGAGAAAAGGATTAAAGATTCCAGCATTTATTTTGCTTGATAATCCACAGTCTCTTACGTTTTGATGTAACAGCGAAATTGCTGTCTATATCCACGTCGTCTGAGAGCATGTTGAAGGTGATGCCTTTACCTCCCTTGCGCAGTTCGTTATTTGTGGAGATAGCGTACATAAGAGCTGACCTGGACACCGGCTCCGCGTCCATGTTAAACAATGTGCCTGTAGAGACCAAGACAGAGGACAAATAAAGCAACAACAAACAAAAACTGCAATATAGGTAAAAAGTATCCCCCCCCCCTCCTTTCCTACCCAAGTTTTCGCATATCACTACGGTCTTAACGAGTTGTTTCATGTTCCTACTGGTCAACCAGTTCGAAATGGCGGGGTGAGGGCGGTGGGTGTCGAGCTTTAATTTTACCGCTCAACTACAGAACACCAAACACAAGATTATACCTACTCAAAGGAGTATCGAAGACATCGTTTATAATGATTAGGACAATATTGTTTGGAGAGTTAGAAAGTGAGAGAGGGGGTGGAGAGGCGGTGTTGAAAGGGAGAGAAAACAAAACAAAAAGAAAAAATAAGAAAAGGCAAGAAAGTAAGGAAGATACAGAGACAGAATGAGATAGAGAGACGAAGAAAGACGAAAGAGACAGAAATAGAGCAACAAAGTGAGATGAAAAGAAACTAAAATACTGAAAGAGAAAAACTGTGAGAGAGCCAAAGTGTGAGTATGTGTGTGTGTTTGTGTGAGTGCGTATGTGTGTGTGAGGTGTGTGCGTGAAAGAGAGAGAGAGAGAGAGAGAGAGAGAGAGAGAGAGAGAGAGAGAGAGAGAGAGAGAGAGAGAGAGAGAGAGAGAGAGAGAGAGAGAGAGAGAGAGAGAGAGAGAGTCACCGAAGCGGAGTGGGATACAACCTTGGTTTGCCACTCTGGGAATCAGGTGAAAAAGGAACTGAATTTGAATTTTGTTCTCGGCCTTCTTGAATTGTATTTCTGAGCCATGTAAAATGAAAACTGAGCCTTTAAAATCTTGAGCAAAGCAAACAAACTTGAACTGCTTTCATACTCTGAACTTTTCACTGGAAGGGTTTTCCCCTGAGCAAATTGAATGGTAAGCCCGAACTTTGTTTGGGAATGAATGTTTAGGAATACCATAAGATATGAGAATGCCGGCATGGATTTCGTTTTAGACACAAGTCAGAGTTCAGTCGATTTTTTGCCTTATAATACAAGCTGAGCTTTGAGGTGCAAACTAGATGCTTATGTCCTTCTCTCTCACTTTCCTAATTATTTGGTTTATGACTAGTCTGAACTTCATGGTTTAGCACAGTTACTATGTTTTTGCAATAATGGTTTTCCCTTTTATTGTATTGTTTACTAACTACATGTCTTGTTTATTCACACATTTCTGCTTGTAGGGAATCCACAAATACAATGGAAGCTCTCGTGGTCTGGGGGTAACGTTGTTCGCCTTTCATTCAATAGATCCCGGGTTTGAAACCTGACAGCGATGGGAAGTTTTCTTCTCTAAATTTTACTTCTTTCATCTCCTTTCCTGCTCTCTAACCTGTCGTTCGCTTTCGTCTCCACTTTCTCCCTTCCCCCTTCCCCTTTGCCCCCCTCTTCTGACGCTTTCTGCAGCTTTTCTACTACTACCCCTTGGCTCCTACTGTACTGCTGTCTTTCAGTCCACACCTGATCTCAGGGTAGGTAAAAACTAAGACTTAGCCTTCTTGGATAATGGTGACAAATCTCGGAGGTCCCGAGTGCAAGTTGTGCTCGTGAAAGATCCCTCGGTGGTTAAAAAAGAGTAGGCTTTGGCCGCCACCCGGGCAAAATTCAAAATTAATTCATACCAAACTGAAAATGTTTAATGTCTCCCCTGCGCTCATATGACCTTATGCAGTACCGAACGCCGCGAAACACTTACTAAATTTTAATACAAATACAAATAGCTTTCAGAGGGAAATCATAGCTTTTGAGGGAGCAAAAGGAGCCACTAATTGTAATAGTAAAGATCAATAACGAATAGCATTTGTATAGCGCAGATTCCAGTTTAATAGCAAGCCCTTTACTATAATATTATTGGTGCACCTAACGTAATACCACCACTAACCCACAGATAACTGCATCAGAAAACGCTCGCGACTGTAGCAAATTAACATTCATAAACGATGGCAGGATGACCATGGTGGCTATGAGACCAAACAACTCAAACAGTGTTATTGGCCTGGCCCACACCACCTTATGTACAGCCAGTATCTGTAAATGAAATGTCCTAGACTATTATGTAAAGACCATTGTCCATGCTCTGTCTTTGTCAAGCGTGGGCCAAGCAAGCAACAAAGTTTTGAGACCACCAATAGGCTTCAAATATCATTGCATGAATGATTATCAATATAAGTTTATTGAGGAGGAGAACTCCAAAATGATTTTAATCTCCTTGGTGGAATCCTGACATTGTGTCTTTACAGACAGAAAAGAGGGATACCCTAAAATGGCAACAAAAGACAGCAAAAATCTGAAATTAAGAAAGACCACTAAAATAGCATCTTTCAGTTTCAAAGATGCAGACAACCAGTACAAGATATGAGGAGTTTTTCGAGGGAGTTACAGTAGATAAGGTCCAGCACAAGTTTTGGAATCTGAATGGAGCCACGAATAAACAAAAGAAAGCCTCAGCCATACCCGAATCCCAGACAGAAGGAAAATGAAATTATGTCCGATTCACTCGCATTATTCAACAAACGAGATTCTTTTCCAATCCTAACTCCAACGGGCATGATTTTTTTTTTACGTGTTACTCTTGAATGGATCTTCTTGTCCACTTGATTGGTCATTTGAACCATGTCAGCTGATATCAGTGTGTTGTAAAGAACATTTTACACTCGCTATGGTGGTAGTCAGGATTTATCGTATGGGTAAAATTGACAGTGTTATTCAGTTGTTGAAAACTCGTGCTTACAACTTGGCAATTTCACTCGAAGGACAAATCATGACCTACCACCATAACCCATATGAAAAATTCTTCAAGTAATAATTTTTTTTATCTCAAGAGAAGTAGGTTCAAAGCTGATAAGTGAACTCAGGCTCACAACGTCAAATATGTGTTGGTGACACGGCGTTAAGGAGGGTGGTCACTTGGGCGTGTCCTTGATCAAAAAGGTTGCTTTTAGTGAACGAGTGGGGTGTCTGGAGTATTTATGTCTATGACATTAAGTATAATTCTTTTATTAATGCAAACATGTATTTGTACGTATATACGTAGATATGCCATTGTAAATTAAATTTCCTCATGGAACCAACAGAAATTAAATGTATTTATGTTTATTCTTGAAAATGAAATAGTATAGGTTTAACACCCCTATCAAGACTAATGGGTTATTTAACACTTTTCTTATAGCGAGGCTCCCGGACACGGCCTCGCTGGACCGACAGCCACAAAATACGGCTCAAGTGGCTCGCTATCTATTCCAATCCAGTAATGAAAAGACACGAAATTCTCGGCTGATCCATGTTTTCGAAATTATAGACTAGACTTCCTGTTAGCGGATATCGAAAGAAATTATAGCACTAACAGGCAATTTTTAGTCATTTCAGCGCTTTTTTCTGTCCCCTTCGAAACATGAAAATGAAAAGAAAAGTGCTCCCCCGACTCCAGTATATTATGTCTCATATTTACTCTTCTATAATAAATACACATACATAACTTTCAGCATTTCTTTGCATTAATTGAAACAACCTACCTGTAAAGTTTGAATAATGCTGTCGTTGCATTTTTTTTTATTTATGACCTTTCAAAGCAGGAAAATTGTTGATTTCATATTACCCTTTCGATATCGCATAATCATTTTTAGAAACCCCACACTAGTGTAATTGGAATAAATGTTCAATATTGTACGACAATCTGTGGAGTAGGGGCGTACAAATAGGTCAGACAAAAGCCCTAGGCCAGTGGTGGATTTTGGCCTGGTAGGAAAAGAGTGAAAAGGAGGACCTCCGGGTTAAAGGTCATTCTCCCAAAAGACCAAGCTAAATAGGAATTCCGTGAAAAGTGCCTTTCCCAGGGATATAACGTCGGGCCGACCTGAGACTCGAACCCCCGATCTCACAATCATACATTTACGGGTCTGGTAGCATTACTATTATGTATTCTTATTTAAATTTAGTATATCTATTCTAAAGATATAGTAACAGCGAGATTGTCGTCAATTAGTAGTAAATGCAATGGTTGCCGAAAACAAAATCAAAATAAATATATAAGCCCTAAGCTCTAGGGTGTCGAGCTGAAGGCACGAGGGCAGCTAGTTCA